TGGATGGATGGATGGATGTATATATAAACATGTATAACACATAGTAGGAATGACAGCAGTGAGCGAAGTCACTACCGAGCACCTAGAATGTAGCACTTTTTCGGGGGAGGGGTAACCTATTTAAAGGTTACAAGACCCTAAAACAAAGTAATGTAACTTATTTCAGGGTTACAAGATCCTAGGATAAGAAACTAAAGTTACTTCTGCAGGGGGTTTAACCTCGTTTCATAAGGTGAAAAAACCCTGCAATAAGAAGCTAAGGTAACTAAAGTCGCCTCCCCTAAACCCTAAACCTCCCAGTCGTGAGCGCGAAGCTGCCTTGAGCAGGAATGGGCATTGCCATCCACTCGCTGAGAATCGTCGTCCTGCACGGGCTCTCGGGTATAAGGGGACCTAGGGTTCAGCGCTTTAGGGTCTTTAGGGTCTATAGGGCCACTATAGGGTCTTAGGGTTTCGGGTCTTATAGGGTTATAGGGTTTGGGGTTTNNGGTTGAGGGTTTAGGGTTTGTGTGCCTCCCCCACAACATCTAAGCAGTACTCCGTCGTAGACAGATGCTCCGTGGCTGGACCTTACCCTGAAGGTCATAAGTCCGGACTCCAAAGCACGGCTTGCCTGCAACCCCCCCCTAACCCCTAAACCCCAAAATCCTAAACCCCAAACCGCTAGTTCATGGTTGGGGTAGTATTAAAATTTTAAATTCATATTCCTTATTGGGTTTAAGTACCCTTAAAAATGTAAAATGTTACCCAACTATGACAAAGTAAACCTCAAAAACCCAAACTCTAAACCCCTGAATCCCTGAGTGCCCCTAAATGCCCCCTAAACCCTGAAGTGCCAAACCACGAAGACAGGACCTGCGAGAGGTTCCTGAATGAAGGGGCCAGCTTTCTCCTTTCCAAACCTAGCCATGATCTCAGAACCGTAAGATTGGGGTTTGGGGTTTAGGGTTTAGGGTTCAGGGTTTAGGGTTTAGGGTTTAGTGCAAAGCTTAGAGCTTATAGGGTCTATCATCCGAACATGAGATTCGCACAGGAAGATCTGTGGCCTTAATCTTCGAAAAGGATCGTTCACACTAAAGACAGACACCCTAATTAAACCCAATACCCCTAAACCCTAAGCCCTTAAACCCTAAACTCTAAACCCCCAAACCCTAAACCCCTAAACCCCTAAACATACACCTCTCCGTTCGTCTCTCTCTCCCCTCCGCTCCTGCGGCTTGGCTCCATGGTGCGGCCCTCTGGAATCAGAAAGCCGCCCGAGGCCACAAACCTTCGGACAGCGACCACTGTGATTTTGGGCTCAGAGGCTGAGGGGCATAGAGTACCCAAACCCTCCAGGTACCTACTATACCCTAAGGGTCCATGTACTCATATAGCATATACATGGGCCTTAGAGTACCTACATGGGGGCTACATTAAGGCCAATGTATATAGTACATGAGTACATGGACCCTCAGGGATATAGGGCCCCAGCGGACGGGGAGAAAGCCTTCTGTTGCAAACGGGTCAGCTATCAACAACACGTCCTTTTCTCCGGCTTTGTGGATGGGCGCTTACCTGTGCTCATGATAGGGGACCAAAGAATTCCACTCTGAAGCTAGGCTCCTGCCGGGTAGACGACAAACTGTGTTCCGGGCAGAGTTCCAATCAGATATTTACACTGATAACCAGCCTGTCGATCGTATTGTGAATCACTTGTTGGTCCATGGGTATTCGAAAGGGAGGTGAATCGCGCGCCAGGACAGAGACCTGATTCTTCCATTTCCAGATTGCTGTCCTGCAAACCCAGAGCTGCAAATACTGACACGTTGGTAGTTGTCAAAATTATGGTCCCTTTTGGGGTACCCTAAATATTAGGTGCCGTACTATAATAAGGACCCGAAAAGGGACCCTAATTTTGACAACCACCCACGTGGATGAAAGCACACCGCTCGCTGGACTCTGCTTGAAACAATCAAGATCTTTGGTTGATGCACCACGACAGTGCTGCCGAAACTGCGGCCAATACACCACTGCTTAGTAGTCCTGTGCCAAGTCGTTACACGACGACTTGATGCTGCGATTGCAGGATAGTGCTGCAAGAAACCTGAAGGTATGCATTGTTTTATGGATGAATTTCCGCAAGGTCTCTGAGACTATTGCATGTAGCTGCCAAGCTAATTGGCTCCCCTCTGTCTGCCTAGTGTGGTGGCACAGTCACGTCTCCAACGACCGACTCTGACATGTCAAGTTGTGTGCCTGCAGTCTAAACCTTGCATTAAGAGCCCCTGCAGAAGCCCTAAACCCCAAACCCCTAAATCCCAAAACCCCAAACCCTAAGCCCTGGACCTTAAACCCCAAACCCTAAACCCCTAAACCGCTAAACCCCTAAACCCTAAACCCCAAACCGTAAACCCTGAACCCCTAAACCCCTAACCCCTAAGCCCTAAACCTTAAACCCTAAACCCCTGAACCCCTAAACCCCTAACCCCAAAGCCCTAAACCTTAAACCCTGAACCCCTAAACCCTAAACCCCTTAACCCTAAGCCCTAAACCCTAAACCCTAAACCCTAACTAAACCCCTAAACCCCTAAACCCTATAAGCCCTAAACCGCGGTGTTGGTGGCCGTTGGTGTGTGACAGACTCCTGAGTTTCCAAGAG